GATATCCACTCAGTCAGGCCACACAATACTCATTCTCGACAAAGAGCTTTACTCCTTCCCATGGGAGTCCCTCAATTGTTTGCGCGGATCCTCTGTTTCTCGAATGCCATCTCTACATCATCTGAAAGTCACGCTGTCAAACCTCCAAGCCAACAATGATCTTGGAGAGCGGTTTGATGGATTCCGCATTGACCGAAATCTTGGCTCATATATTCTCAACCCCGGAGGGGTCACCCGTGATGTGCCCCTCACCCATGATATCACTTGACCTCTGTACCCTCTGACTCCATCTTCCCCCTCTCTGCCTCCTGATATATCCCTCGCAGCCAACAAAACATCTCCACCAGCTGGTTGTGCTCGATGCCCTGCCCCTCAACCTTCTGTCCCAAAAATTCAATCACCGCCTCCTGATCATCTGCATCCACATTGAACTCTCTCAGCCGCTGTGACACCCATACATCATCATTGCCACCGTCGGGATCCAAAATCCCCTGTACGGACACTGCCTCTGTGTCTTCCGGCTGTTGCATATGGACTGCGGCATCCCGCATCGGAAGCACCCGGAATACTGTGTGTATTTGATCTTGCTCCGCACTGTCATCATCCATCTCTTTGCCTCCTGGCTCTCCTCGTGGGGACACTGGTACAGCTCATGGTCAAACTCCCTCCCGCTTGCAATTTGCACATATCAAACACTGATCCTTCCACCTCTGCGCCTCTTCCACTAAAACCTCCTCATCCATCAATGCCCTCTGCCCTCGCTGCTGATGTGTGATGATGAACCAGCCTTGATGGACATACTGTTTGTGGAATGTCTGTCTGATTGTTGATGGGATGCCTCTGATGTCTTCACTGATTACCCTTCATTCTGATTGCCTGTGAACGTGTAATCCGCCTCCTTCATGGGGCTCACCACGGCCCACTCTCCCACCATCTGGCTTGCTTGGTTCCTGGCCAGAATGTCGGATGCATTGGCGTCCAGTCGCAGCGCCTTGTGCACCACCATGAACCGTGCCACCTTGATGATCCGTGACAATATTGGTGGGTAGCTCTCCGCGTCGCGCCATCCATACTCCCCCCGTCCTAGCACCGCCAACGCGTCTACCAGCGCGCACTCATAATCCTCCACCTGAACCCGCTGGTCCAGCAGCTCAATTCAAAAATCCAAACATGCCATCTGGATCTTGGTTGATTTGAACTTATCTTCTTCTTGATCCGTGACAATATTGGTGGGTAGCTCTTCGCGTCGCACCATCCATACTCCCCCCGTCCCAGCACCGCCAACGCGTCTACCAGCGCGCACTCATAATCCTCCACCTGAACCCGCTGGTTCAGCAGCTCAATTCAAAAATCCAAACATGCCATCTGGATCTGGGTTGATT